GCAGTAGCTTTAATTTCAACTTTTTTTTTTTTTTTTTTTTTTTTTTTTAATTAAATTCACAGGATTTTACTCAGAAATCCAGTGATTATCACAAATTAGCCAATGTGGCAGATTGAGTACATTGAAGGAAAGGAATTAGAATTTTTCTGAAACTTGGTTTTCTCATATCTGCACTGTTGAAAAGAGAGCATAAGATATATTATCCCATCATAACAAGACTTATTTTTTCTTTATTTTTAACAAAAATGATTTTTGTTATTTTATGAATTGAGCAAAAGCTTTTTTTTTTAATGTAATTTTATTTTGAGGCAAATAAACACAGGTTTCTGTCTGTTTTTTTGAAGCTTTACTTAGAAATGGCTTCTCATTTCTAGGACGAATTTCTTTACGAGAAAGCAAAAGAGGCAAAGCCTTTGTTTGTGTCTGGTGCATGAGACCTCAGTTTTTTGTGACCAAAGAGCGGCAACTGATTATCACTCCTATGAAGCACCTGTAATTCAATTGGAAGATCTCATAGGGATAAATATTTATTTTAAGAGCCTGAGCACAGACTGAGATGACAAACTATAGAAATAGCTGTCTGTCAGGAAGTCACCAAATAGAATTGTTGATCTTTCATCTTTACTAATACAATAGACTTGCCTTTAAAAAAAAATCAATAATTGTTGTCAGCATTAATTCCCTTAAGCATTAGAAAGGTATAGGCATAGGTAACAACATACTATCTCAAATTTCTTCTGGGGAAATTAATAATTTGATTTCTTAGCTTTGTTCTGCCTGTATTGTAATGAAGTAAATGTTGACAGAATGTAGTGTTTGCTTGAATAGTGGTACATGCATGTTAAAACATATTGCAAGAGAAGACTTCATCCTATTTAGAACTTTGAACATGACTTGTCTTCAGATCTTTTATTTTTAATCTACTGAGTACTGTGCTGAGGACTTCCAAGGGAAAAGAATCACAAAAATAATGTATTAAGAATCTTAATATTATGAGTTGTAAATTAATGTTATGAAATATAGCTACTAACAATGTTAACTAGCATACTTCAGTATTCTTAGTTAGCATCATGAGCTACATATTGACTGTCATAGTTTAACTCTGGTAGGGAGCTCAGCCCTACAAAGCCCTTTGCATACACCCCTCTCAGTGGGATGGAGGACAGAGTCAGAAAGCTAAAAGTGCAAGGTACTAGGCAAAGAAAAAGCTGCACATGCTGCCAAATCAAAAGAAGGAATTCATTCAGTATGTTCCATCAGCAGACAGGTGTTCAGCCACTTCCAGGAAAACAGAGCTTGTGACACATAACAGTTTATTGGGAAGACAAATGCCATAATATTAAGCATCCCTCTTCTGCCTTTTTTTCCCCAGTGTTATTTTCCTGAGCATGATGTCATATGGAATTGAATATCTTTTCCACTTTCTTGTGTGCTCCCATCCTCCTCACTGGCAGGGCAGGAGAAGCAGAAAAGTCTTGATGCTGCATAAGCACTGCTCAGCAGTAGCTAAAACACTGGAACATTCTTTTCATCCTAAACCAAAAAGGCAGCACCGTACCAGCTACTACAAAAACAAAAACAAACAAAAAAACCAGATACAATTACATAATTTATATAATTAAATAATGTCTAAAACACCTTTGTGAGAATTGATTTTTTGACATAGTAAGAAAATTAAGTTATCTCAAAAATGAAAGTGTAATTTAGAATCAATTTTCTTGTAGTATAACTTAGATTAAGAAATACAGTAAAAAATCCAGTTACTATTTTTGACCTAGCCATAGATCAAGAATATTAAATGTAAAAATATACAGTACTGCATAAATATATAAACTGTATTTTATCTAAACCCATTACAGTAATATGAAAACACTCATCTGCTGTGAGGGAAGAGAATAAAATATTGATATTTAAGCTAATGAGGTTAAATGTGAACATATGATATGTTCAATAATACAAGTTCAAGAAATATCTCAGACTGGTACACATTTTAATGCACTTCCTGATAAAATCTTAATGACTGTCATTTTTATCAAAAGCAGCAGAATTTGGGACATGGTAATTTTCTTGTGGAAAAAGAAAATAAATGTTTAGAATGTTTTTATGTGCAATTTATTCGTGTGCAATTTCTTTGCAAGCATTTATATCAAGCTGTTGACTTTGGTCACCTACAGTTGCCTTATTTAAATATGCTGCCCTCAAGGAACAAAAATATCTTCTGTTTTCTGCATACATCTATTTCTCTTTCGTCTATGCCTTGTATTATTTTAATAAGAAAGAGGACAACCTAGCACCTCGAATCTCCATCCACTCATATTACAGATACATGCATACATTGCTTTAGCCTGACTATAGTATTAGTATTTATTTAGTGATTTTTTTTTTTTTCCCAAAAGGATTTTTTTTCTCATCTGAAATCCAGATACATGCAAGGAGTTTTCCTTCTTTGTAACTGAAGTTCAGTTCATGATTGGCACCTAAAATAGGAAGCAGCAGTCTGCTGTTTACATGTACCAGCTAGTAATGTTTTAGGTATCACAGAACATATTACCTGCCAAAAGCTGACAGACTGATAAAGGAAAATCACACTTTATTCATCAGCAATTGAAGTCCAGATGAAGCAGCTGACAGTCCTTAAAATAAATCTAGCTGCCTGTGTTTAGATAATGGCATTGTAATTTGCATATGTTTGTATATTTGTGGAGGGGACTAAATATTCCTGCTTCTCAGCCATCAGCTGCACTCCAAAAACATTGGGAGTCCTAAATAAATGTTGTACAAGATCTTCCAGACGGTACAGGTGTGGTGCCATATGTAATTAAAACCTGCTTTAATTTGTTATAAGCCGCAGATTATAGGGATCATCATCTAGAAGTAGAACTCAATTGCTTAAATATGGTCATTGAGAGTTTGATCCAATTCTGGATGCCTTGGGGTATCTGATATAAGGATCTGGTGGTTGTGATGCAGAATCTGCATAACAGAGTTTTCTGGACTGCTATCAGTGAGATCCTGAAATTATTCAGAAAGGTGCAGACCTCAGGAGATCTCTAGTCAAAATGCTAGCTCAAGCAGGGTCAGCTATGAGGTTAGTCCAGGCTGCTTAATCCAGTGGTATCTTGAAAGTCTCAAGGGTGTTTTATAACATCTCAGATGCCACTGGATATGTCTGTACAGGCAATTGATTTGAATACTTAACACAATTTGTAGCCTTATTTCATATAACTATAATTTTTTTCAGCTGTATTCACGGACCATCTGTATGTAGTAACTTGTTATAGCTTTTATACCAATGAAGAAGATAGACACATTATGGAAACACAGAATCATAGAAAGACCATGGTTGGAAAAGAAGATCCAACTATCCACCTATCACCAATATTTCCCACTAAACCACATCCCTCAGTACAACAACTAAACGTTTGTTGAACACCTCCAGGGACAGTGACTCCACCACCTTCCTGGGCAGCTTGTTCCAGCATTTGACCACTCTCTTGGAGAATTATTTCTAATGTCCAACCTTAATCTCTCCTGGCACAACTTGAGGCCGTTCCCTCTAGTCTTACTGCTAGAGATGTGGGAGAAGAGGCTGACTCACACTTCACCACAACCTCCCTTCAGGAAGTTGTAGAGAGTGATAACATCACCCTTGGGCCTCCTCATCTCCAGACTGAACAATCCCAGCTCCCTCAGCCATTCCCCATAAGATTTGTGCTCCAGACCCCTCACCAGCTTTGCTGTCCCTCTCTTAACATGCTCCAGGGCCTCATTGTCTTTCTTGTAGTGAGGGGCCCAAAACTGAACACAGTACTCAAGATGTGCACTCACCAGGGCTGAGTACAGAGGGATGAATCATCTCCCTGCTCCTGCTGGCTACACTTCTGATACAAGACATTTCTGATACCACTGGCCTTCTTGGCCACCTGGACACACTGCTCATGTTCAGCCAAGCATCGATCAACACCCCCAGGTCTGCTTTTTCTACATAGTCTTCCAGCCACTCAGCCTGTAGCACTGCCCAAGGTTGTTGTGGCCAAAGTACAGCACATGGCACTTGGTCTTGTTGAACTTCATCCCATTGGCCTCAGCTCATCTATCCAGCCTGTCCAGATACCTCTGTAAGGCCTTTCTACCCCCAGGTAGATCAACATTTCCTGTAATGAGGGTGCACTCAATTCCTTCATTCAGGTCATTGGTAAAGGTATTGAATAGGACAGGCCCCAGTACCAACCCACAGGGACCACCACTCATGAGCCATCGTCAGCTGGATTGAACTCCATTCAGCACCACTCTCTGGGCCCAGCCATCCAGCCAGTTCTTTACCCAGCAAAGAGTGTACCTGTCTAAGCCATGGGTGCCAGCTTCTCTGGGAGAATACTATAGGAGTATTCATGCTGTCTAGGCCTGATCTCTCACTTGTCCCACACATGCTGTTTGATTTCCCTCAAATTATCTGCTCCATCATCTAGATTATTAATCCTTAATTTTGCCAGTAATGCAGGAAATCAATAAATTCAAAACTTGTAGAATAAAGTTTTGTTTCTTTGTTTGTAGGTGTTTTTATTATTATTACTATTTTGTTATATATGTTATATATGTTATTATTTTGTAAAGGATGTATTACAAAATATTGCACAATGTTTTTATATGGAAATGTTGTGTAACTGCATGTTCAGGATGATTGCAGAGATGCCTTCTCATCTTTTCAATGTTATGTTGGGAACCTACAGCTCCTGGAGGCTGAAGCATACAAGAAAATGTTTTATTTCCTTTGGTGTTTTCAGTAAGAGACAGACGGCAGTCTTAAGGGAGGTTAGGATAGTCTCAGTTATTTTTTTTTTCATGTCCTTCAAGTAAATAGACAGATAGATAGATAGATAGATAGATAGATAGATAGATAGATAGATAATCCCTCAAAAGACTATGTTCTGTATTAAAATGATAAACATATGACATCAGTTTTGTGATCTAGGCATTTTTTATTATCTTGTCATTCACAGATCCTGGCTGACCTAGAAAACCATGCACTTTTTAAGGATGACCTAGAATGCCAGAAACTTATTCTGGAAGCCATGAAATATCACCTTTTACCAGAGAGAAGAACTCTCATGCAAAGTCCAAGAACTAAACCTAGAAAATCTACAGTTGGGACACTTTATGCTGTTGGAGGAATGGATAACAACAAAGGTATTAAATGATATTTGTTACCTTATAAAAGTTATATTTTGTGTTTACTTTATTAGAAAATAGTGAAATAACTTTCTATTATTTGTTTAGGGTGGAGAAGGAGCATATGTAAGTGTAGAATTGCTGCCAAAATCCAAGTCAGGAAAACTGACAATAGTTTTGGTCCAATTAAGATCTACTTACACTTAAAGAAAAATGTAATGTTGTTAGAGAACTGAAACTGAGTTTTGAGTTCATTCTCTGCTCAAAATTACTGTGATTTCCAAGAATTTAAATGAAGTATCTGTAGCAACGTTCATTTACCTTACTTTTAGTTTTATAAAAATTCTCTTTCATTTCTGTTTTGTGGGAGAGATAATAAATAAATAAATAAAAAGAATCAATAAACCAGAACTCATATGTTGACATAAAACTATTTGCAAAGAAAATGAAAAGGATAATAATTACAACAAATGAACATGTATCTCAATGTATATAACAAGCGATGTGAAAGCAATTTCTCATTCCCCCCCATTGATGCCAAGTAGTCTCCTTAACAGCTGAAGAGAGTGAAATGAATTGCCACCTCCTTCAAAACTCCTGCATGATCTAATATGGTACAGAATACCCCCATAGCCCAGCTTAATTTAGCTGTTCTAATCCTGTTCCATCACATCTCCATGGGCATGTAGAGGAACTCTTGTGTCATTGCCTGGAATAAGAATTGAGCACCTGGTAAAGGGGATGGCTGACCTATGAAGTATAGGTTCAAACAATTTAGCTGTGCTGCTCACCTGACCAGAAGGAGTGGGCCTTGGGTCTTCTCCCCCCACTCCTCACCCACCCTTGCTGGGCTCATTCTTGGGTTAACCTCATTAAAGGCTGGTCCTGGGAAAGAAGGTATGTTCTACAGACAGAGATTCTGTCAACAGTTGGATGAGTCAGCTTTTTTTTTTTTTATTTTATTTTATTTAAGTTGGTTCCCAGTTACACTTTGCTTGGCATTGCAAAGAACTTGTCAAAAATAGTTTTGATGCTCTGCAGGGTAAACAGGGCTAGAAAAGGGCTTTGTTGAGAATGGCCTTGGCTCTACACAACGCCACAATTATAAATGTTGGTGTGTTATCAGCATTGTTTTCTCCTAGAACCAAAACATACCACCATGCCAGATGTTCTGAAGAAAACAATTTTATCCCAATTGAAATTAAGGTGAATCTTATGCATGAATAATACTTTTCAGGTGCAAAAAGTTATTAGTCAGTCAGAGGAAAAGACTGGACAAAAAGCTTTAACTGGGTTCTCACTTTCTCACCATCTGAAGAGGGGTTGAATTATGCTATTAACTGCTTTTAAAAAAGTAAGAAGTGATAGAAATGTTATCAAATATTTTTTGTGGGCATAGCAGTTATGATTAAGAAGGCTAGTCCACTGATTTTTTTGGCTGAAGTAAGATATTTGAGGTAAAAGCTGCCTGTCTAGTAAGCCTATATTTTTGGGGAGGTTTTCATTATTAATTTGTCTTGAAATTCAGTAACAATTCCACAGTATCCTACAGTCCCTATGAATATTCAGACTGAAGAATATGCCTTCAGAAGCCAGAGTTCTACTGTAGAAGAATGTTCTCAAATAAATAAATAAATAAATAAATAAAATGCAATGAAATTAAATCTTCATACAGATCCACGTTTAGGGTTAGTTCTTGAAGTTGTTTTGCTGCATAGTCAGGGTGATATCTTTTTCAAAAGAAATCTTTCCCACAGAATTACAGCATCAGGAGAGTTGTATGTGCCTGTGTAGCATCTGCAAAGGAGGGTGTTACAGCTTATGTAACATGTTCCTAATAACTCTGCAGCCATTTTGCACTGGCTTGCATCTGTTCAGTTCATCCCATGTGATGCTGCCATATCCAGGGCTATGTTTTGGGCGCTATGAGGCTTGATTCTCAAATCAGTTCAGCAAATCTGAGTGCTGGTTGCATGTTTCGAAGAATTACTGTGAATTAGTACAGTGCACCTCTGTCTTCAGGTCATGAGATGATGCAGATGTTGCATTATCTTTCCTCATTAATTAGTATTTTCTCCACAACTTTCTCCAAAGAAATGCTGACATGGATTACTGTTACTTGCAATGGTGTATTTTTAATGCTTTTTGATGTTTGTTACCAGATATAAAACAGTTACATGTAAGATGGAGGTGAGCTAAGCAAATTATCAGTTTAAGAGCTTGTATATAAAGCAGTGGGTAACTGCTGGTATTGTGAAAGTATTCCAAGGTTATGTGACCCACTTCATAAAAGTAGCCTACCATGCTAAAGCAACTTTGTTTTGCAATCTCTTCTATAATTATTCTCCTTTCCATAGAAGAAGTGATAATTAAACTCCAGCAGACAGTGACTGGAATTACGCCTGACATGAAAAGTTAATGTAGCATAGTACTAACTGGATAGAATGAAATGGAGCAAGGTTAGTTCATTCAATAATTTTAATTCCCAACTTGTGAAAACCTCATTTAAATGTCTTTTCACCCATTTTTGTTTACTTATTCATATGATTTAAAAGACACATATAATCTGTTTCTTTGTTTTTTATATGGGCTGTATTAGTAGAGCGAGAGGAAGTTGTAAGGAAGGTGTGATTCCAGATACATGCTTCTGATAATACTCCTTACCCATTCATTTAGTCACATTAACTTCTGTAACTTAAATTAGCAGGATTTATTCACCTAGTAGTAGACAAAAGATGTCCAGATGCACATAAAAAGGAGAGTGTTAGGCTGTAATAAATGAGTAAATGCATGAAGTGATATTTGTCAAATTCTGAGAATGCAAAAACACTGACATTGGTCTTGCAATCCCAAATAGAACAAAGCTGTGTGGTAGAACATATTCTTTACAGTCTATCCTAGGAAATGCATTTTAAAATTACAATAGGAGAAATATATTTAGACAGTTAGAGGAGATTTGTATGAACAATTAGACAGTGTTATGTTGATAACAGAATATGAATGATCTCTACTGAAATATTTCAACCTGTCAATACTAAGGAAAAGGAGTGTCCTTTGGAAAACAAAGCAGAAAAAAAAAGATCACAGAAGACTGGTATATAATATTTTTGGGAATTGAAGTCCTAGATTACTGTATGATTTGCTGAATCATAGTCTTTAAGTAAATAAGTAAATAAAGGAGAAAATACAAGGAAATAATGAAAAATTACATAAGCAAAAAACCTCTTCCAGGAAGATGACATCTCATTAACAGAGGACAGAGTTCATTTACTGATTATTAAATATGTATTTATGCTTTAGTCTTGTGATTAAATATAAAATATATCTGAAAAATTACTTTGATATTATGTGAAGCGCATCATCGGTCTATCAAACAACCTTAGAGATTTTGTCATGATTATTTAGGGCTGCCTAGAAAGATCATTACTTTCACTACAACAATAAGAAAAAGTGAAGCTTTTGAAATGTGAAATTTTGAGGTCTTCAGTCACTTCTGCTTAACTTCCTATGTTGCATATTTTTCCTTTTTTTTGTATTAGTTCTCGGTCACTTGTAATAATCTTTTTTCTTTAAAAATGTTTTATCAAATGTGCTTTATTTCTTATGTAATATTTATTGTAACTACATGAAATTGCACTTTTCTCTAGTGAACTTCTCAAATGCTCTCTCTTTTGTTGTGTTTTTGTTATGGTTTTTTGTTTTTTGTCATCATTTTTTATAAAGACTTCTTGCAGAATGCTTTCCTTGAACTTCATTTATTTTAATTGTAAATTTTTCATTCTCATATAGGCATGTTTTAAATACTGAAAGAGGTATTGTCCAGCCTACTGACATTCTTAATCTTTTAGGAGTCTGCTGGAAGTACTGAAAATTGAGGCAGAAATAATGAAAGCATCTAGGTTTTCCTCTTAGTTAATTATTCTTGGTCTCTCTAAGAAGTGTGCCTGAGATGCTGAGATGGTTTTGTAGCATTTTGTATGCATCTTATAGCATTTTTCAGGTTTGGAATTTACTACAAACCATGTTGCCATCACATATATAAACAATATTCATGAGAAATTTTGTGTACATAGCGATATGGAGAAAGCATTTTAGATTTGATATTAGGTAGGAAATATTTCTTCACTTAAAGGATTGTGAAGGGTTGAAACAGGCTCCCCAGGGAACTTAGCCAACATCCCTGGAAATATTTAAAAGATGTCAAGATTTGGTCCTTAAGAACATGGTTTAGTGGTAGACAATGCTAGGTTGTCTCGCTCCAATTTCTAGGAGGGAGAGGAGGTTCTTTTATTATCTATATACCCGGCGTGAGATTAAGAAGCAACGGTTCAAATGTTGGTCCAACCAGTTTATTACAAATCTTAATCAGGGGAAGTGGGGAAGGGGAGGACGGACACTATTATGAATTAGGGTAATGGGGAAGGGAAGGAGGGCAATAGAAAAGATAGAAAAGAAGAAGCAAGGGGTCTTTATAGGCAGCAAGAGGGAGATAGTCACCACCATGGATCCAGCGTGGTTCGTAGTTCCGTCTTTGATCTTCAGTAGCGGTGGGTCGTCAGGCAGAGTTGTTCTGTTGACAACGACGATGACACGGGATGATGACCATGGTGATGATGGCCCCTTTTCAATAGTTTCAGAGTGGTCGAGTCAGCTGTCTTTAGAGTGACAGCTCAAATCCAAAGTGGTTGAGTCAGCTCTCCTTTGAGTGGCAGCTTCTGGCTCTGGGATCTCAGCAGAAACTCCTTTGTTCCCATCTTCCGGGCCTTGCCAGCAGATAAGAGGGAGCAGGGATGCCCATCTGCATCCTGTTTTTCACAGAACACGATGGTATCGTTACCCAATTTTCCCACACCTAGCTGGAGCTGTTTAGTCACAGGCCAGATCTTCCGCCAGTAAACACTCCTGAGCACTCTCATCCGCTCTTCTACAGAGCAAGCAGCTCTGGAGGAAGGGGCTTTCAAATGTTCCCAAAGCGGTATCGATTGTCACACGGTTAGCACCCATTAGTTGCCTCCTCA